GATACAGCTACAGCCAAGGAGAAAAAAATGAAGAAAGCTGGGGAAGAACAAAACACACTGAAAGCAGTGCTGGGATAAGGGAAGAGAGTGCTGCACCTGGAATGAGAAGATGGGCGAGATCTGCTGCAGGGGGCTGCCCCAAAATGCAAATGAGATGAGGGAGAGGAGAATGGGATGAGGGGAAGCATAGGGTGATGTCCCAGCTGAGAAGAGCAGATTTCTCCCAGCAGGCAGAGATGGAGGGTCAGGTTGGCAAGAGAAGTGAGAGAGCTCAGTGCAGGGAATAAAGACAAGAGAGGCTCAGTACACTTCACATTTTTATTAGCTGACAGCAGAGAAAACGGTGGAAAAATGTTATACAAAGTCAAACATCTGTGTGTCTGTTACCTTTACGTGTGGACTGAAGGGTACCTCAGGAGATGTTTCTTTCTCTTTGTAAATCTTTATATGTAACCAAAGTTGACACTTTGGTTTTATTGAATATAGCAAACACATGGGTGCTTGATAGGGGAGATAATGAATGCTTTTAGGGCTTACAAATCTGGCATATGTCACAAGTCCCTAGTGAGGCTGGTACCTTGCAAGCTGATCAGGGACCCTGAACCCTGCTGGCCCAGCTCTGCATCACTTGCGTTCCTCAGGGGCTGTACAGTGGCTGCTCCAGTCCTTTTTTCCCTTTAACCTTTGCTGTCCAGCCTCCAGCATCCCCGTGGCCCCAGTGCAGAGCCCTCAGCAAGCAGTCCTGCCCCTGTGCTCCCTCCAACCCAGAATCCAGAAGCTGTGACCACACTGCAGGAGCTGCTGTGGTGCCATGACACAGGAGCTCGGAGTGAGGGATACAGTAAGAGAGTCCCTCCCTGCTGTGTTAGTTTTGGCACCAGGCTTGTTCCCCTTCAGTTTACAGAAAGCTTCAAACTCAAGCTGCTCTCCTAACTGCTAGCTGTGTTTTCCGTGCCAGTTCTACCTCGGACCCGATGCTAAATATAAGCGTGTGGAGCCAGCCCTGTGTCTCTCCCCTATTTGGCAGTGCCTGGCACCACCAACCGCTCTACGGAACTGAGCCCTGCCACCCAGCTGGTGGCTGGGAAAAGCTGTGTTCCTCCCCTCTAAGTATCTCCTTAAGGACAGAGGGCAGCACGCAGTTTGCTTCTGAGCCCCCATGTCTAGTGTTGTGCTGCACCTGCAAGAGGTAAGAAACTCAGGCCAGAATCTCACTCAGCCAGCCCTGCTGCTTGATCAGTGCCTTGTTTTGTGGCACTTTTTTTTTTTTTTTTTTTTTTTTTTTGAGGAAACCGGTATTTTTATAGGATTGGCAGTTATTAAACAATATTTAATGCATAAAGGAAAACTTGCAATGAATACATTAGCATCTGTGCCAGACCAAACATCTGTACATTTCAGTGGAACGAGCAGCAGGAAATCAGAATTTTGTTTCTGCTTTTCAGCTGGCACAACAACTCAACTATTTTCAATTCGTCTGAATTAGGAAGAATTTGTTCTTTTGGTATATAATTCTTAGGGTCAAAAGTGGACAGACTGCAGCCAAGTATTCCATGTGAACCAGGCATGTGAGTACCTCTGCCCTTACACGACTCTGCTAAATGCGGGTGGCAGCAGCTTCAAGGAGCCGGCTAACTCTAAATACACCCAGATGAATGGTGGGAGCCTGCCAAGCTGATGAGAAGATCCCCACTGGACCTGCTGAGCCTTCCCTGGAGAAGAGGGAGGCTGCAGGCCGCATGCAGCCTGCTAGCCTCCTTGCAGGGGGAATCCTGTACAGGCATTGGCCCTGGGTACAGGCAGGCATTGGTGACTGCATTACCACAACTCAGTGAGTTACCTTTCATCAGCTGAGCTACTGTAACCTGCCTTAATTAAAGAGGAAAATAAATTAGGAGACAGTACACTGAAGGTGATTAAATCCAAAACACAGGAGGTTTAAAGTAATATGTTGTATTTAACAGGTGGGGAAAGCAAAAGATGTTCCTGCCTGCTCACACTGTCTGAGCTTGGGAGTGCAGCTTGCTTAGCTGTGCTAATTTCAGTACTTGTAATTGTCCCAGTGGTGCTGAAGCTAAGGACGAACACACACAGAGGCTGGCACCCTTCCCTGCAGATTGCTTGTTCTTGGAAATGGCTGGTGCTGAGGGATGCTAAGGGAAACATGATGGGTAAAAATGAGCATTACAGAGCGCACCGAACCGAGGGTTCTGCGGCCATGTTGTCTAAATGATTAACACAAACTTATGACTGGATGAACGACCAGAGCTATTCCAAAAGGAATTCCTGAAAATATGAGAAAGTGGGTAATTGCAACACATTGCCGACCATCTTCAGTGAACGTATCTTGGAATAGCAGTGATGACATCAGGGTGAACTTCGCAAACAGGAGCAGTGGTGTGATATAAATGAGACGTTCAGCAAGGACAAGGGTAAACCTCATACTGGAACCATCGGTTGTGCATACACGGCAGAAAGCAGCATGCATGGTCGGTGAAACACCGCGTGCAACAAACCGAACGCCAACCACTTCAGATTGCTGCAAAAAATGAATGTCATGTGGGGATATATGAACAGGAGTGCCATATGTGAGATGTGTGAAATAATCCTCCCACTCTGCTCGGTGCTGAAAGCCTCAGCCCAAATCCTGTGCCCAGCTCCAGGCACCGCACTCCACAGAGGATGTGGAACAGCCAAGAGCAATGAGTCTGCTGTAAGGCCAGGAAGAACCACCTGAGGGAAGCTGGGATGGAACAGAAGAGGACTGCACAACTGGAAGTGTTCCCAAATATGTCAAGAAAAAGAAAATACATTGTTTTCCAGATGCTGTGGATGAATAAGGGCAGCTGAGCTGCGAAAGGGGAATTCGGGTTAGACATGATGCCAATGCTGCAGAGGTAGCACAGTGAGCGATAGCGGGAAGCGCTCCAAGGAGGCAGAGCTGGGGAAGACATGATGTTGTCCTGCAGCAGAGGTCAGACCATGTCTGGGAAGCCCCCTCAATTCACAGTGCTGATGGAAAGTTAAAAATCCTCAGCTGCTACAAACCAAGGAAACTTCATTAATGATTTATACTAGCAGAGGGGCCTTGCCCGAAATGTGTCCAGCGTAAGCGTTTTTTCTATCTAATTTCTGCTTTTAGCCATGAGATTATGAGTAATAGCTATGGAACTACACTGTTAGACAGAAATCCTTTAGCTTTCTAAAGGTCAGTTAATCTATGATCTAATCTGATGGTCACTGAAATTAAGTGGAAGTAGCTCAGCCAGCTATAATGGAAAGTGGTTTGTGTCTCCAGCCTTCAGCTACCTTGAGCTAAACCTTCCTCTGCAAGCAAAGTGATGTATAGGAATGAAGCACATTTTGAAATGCATGATGAATCTTGTTGTTTTACTGCAGCAGAAGAAAAAAAAAAAAAAAAAAGAAAGAAAAGTCATGCCTTTCCAGCTATTACTGTTTTAAAGCAGCTCTCATTAAAAACTCCTAACCTCAGTGCAGCCAGGGAAGTGTGTGAGATTCCCATGAACACACTGCTCTGCCCTGGCTTGCTCACAGTGAGAGCTGAGCTGTGCATCTGAAACTCACTAAGCACAATCAGACTTTTTGTAATGATCTGTAATATTTAAGGATTCCAAATCTCAGTGTAGCCACTATCAGCGAACTCATGATTTGAAAGGCTGCCCCGGAAAGCAGCAGCCTTGCTCCCTGAAAAGAGGTAATATTTCATATTTCAAAGTAACCTTCCCCAGGCACTTTCCTTTCAGAGGCTGTACTTCAGACTGTTTTCCTGCTATGGCTACTCTTTGTAGCTTACATGGACTACTTACTTTGAGAAGGAGATTTTTCTAACACATGCAAAAACATAAGAACCCACAAAAGAAAACAAAGACCCTGGTCAGAAAGCCTTCGACTCTGATTCCTTGTGCCGTTTCTCCTCTAGATGATGAGGCAGTTTAATTTACACGGATATCACCTGAAAACAAGAGTGACACGCTGCAGCCGATCCAATGCAGCTGAACTCTCTTTGTCACCAAATACATTCTGCACATTAGCTGGTAGTGTGAGGCACTGAAGCATAGTCTTTAATTAAAGTGCAACAATACCACAGATACAGCATGGGCATGGCACAGGAACCTGGTGCTCGGTATAAAAACAGCTGTGCTGAAATGCGACGTATCACTACATGATGCGACTAAGTCAGTGAAGGCACTCTTACTCTTGAAATCTGAAGTATTCCTGAGCACTGATTTTCAGCTGGGAAAGCTGTGATCAAATCAATGCATGTATTATTCTCCACCAATAAACAATGCTGGGAACGAGGGCACATTAAACACCTACGGCATGTGGAGCTTTTCACGCTGCTCATGAACCAAACACAAACACAGAGGCTGTGAGATCCCCAGAGCTCCTTCTGCCCCTTGGGAAGCCCTCTGCCTGTCTGGTTGGAGGGCAAACATCCTGAACCACCGGCACCAACACAAAGGCACGAGATCGCAGCTTGGGAGCTGCCTGTCCTCCTCCTGCCCTCCTTCCCATCCTCCAGAAAAGATCCCGCAGCACAGCGAGGGGCTGCAGCACAACGCACAGGGAGCTCCTGCCCTGCATTGCTCTGCTCTGCCAAGGAGCGAGCTCTCCATCCGCCCTTTATTTGTCAGGGCAGCCGATACTGCCAGTCCAGCAAGAGAGCCACGCGCAGGTCTCCTAAAGCTGGCCACTGAAACGCAGAGCAGCAGCAGCAGGGCTCCTTGCACCGCGCATGGCAGCAGCACGTACTTGGTCCTCACCACCACGTGGGCACTGCGCCATACAGCAGAAACCCAGAAATAATCGCAACGTCCGGGCACGGCACAAGCTGTTTAGGAAATGAGGCGGTGCGGATTTGGCACGGGGCAGTGTTACAGGGAGCAGATACTGGGAGTCATGCAGTGCTGCTTCTCCGCCGGCTGGGAAAGGCGTCAGGGAGGCACAAACACACAAAAGAGAGAGTAGGAGATAGTTACCTAACATGACGAAGGGGATCCCCAGGAAGGTGGAATTGTATTTCCCACCAGTGAGATTGATGATCCCGGCTGCAGTCAGGGTGGCAAGGGTCACGGTCAGCAATCCCAGCAGGCCAAGCCAGGGTTTGCTGCGGACACAATCCTGCATGGAGCAGCAGAGAATGGCCAAGGTGACCACAAGGACCAAGCTTGTGATCAGGTAGCGTTCTGACACCCTGCTCGTCTTCTGGAAATCCTCCTTCAGCGAAGAAGAAGTGAAAGGATACATTTTGACTTTCCTGTTGGATTTCTGGAAAAGTTCAACAGTGTCACAAAAAATGGATTCCCACTTTTCTGCCACCATGTCATTCAAGGAGTTGATTGCCTGCAAGTAGTAGGTGAGCTGAATGGCTTCTGCAGACTTCACCCGGTCTTTGCTGTGCACAGTAACCCCACCAAGCTGATGCCCATTATACACTTCCCTGCCATCCTTTAAGTGAGTAATCGGATAAGTGATTGCAAAATTAGTTCGATTAGAAGAACGAGCAGCCTTTAATTCCTCCAGCACATGCACTATGTCGTCCACTATGCATGTCTTGTCATTGTTCAGGATACATATATGGGCAAACGTGTAATTGAAACCAGGTCTTTGCACTTGGATCCTGGTCACAGCAGAGTGCAACTACAAGGGAAAGAGAAATCACAGACGTTATTCATCAGTTCATCCCGCTCGGCAGCAGCCAGAGCAACAGCGGCTCGCGGCCTCCGTCCCTCTCCTATTCCAGCCAGACAACAGCAGCGAGCGTTCTGGTGGCTGCAGTACTCACGGCAAACTCAGCGCAAAAAAGAAGCATGCATTAAAATAGCAGCATCACTCTCCTGCGTCCCTTGCTGGTATCGTGGGCAGGTGAGGTGGCAGGGACAGCCTGGCTGGCACAGGGGATGTCGTCACGCTGGTGACCCCCAGGCTGCGGGAGGAAGCTTGGATGCAGCCCGCAGAGGAGGGCTGGGATCATCAGCACCTGGAGCTGGCACTGGTTAAACCATCCGCTTTTTGTCTCCCCCTCGACCCCATCAATCCCTCTGCCTACCCGAGAGCGAGAAGTCACAGAACAGCCACCAGCGTTCTCCTCTCTGTTTATCAGAGGAAGCCTTCATTTTAGAGCCCGTGGGCTATCCCTGCTTACTGTTTGCTTTCAGGCAGCTTTTAACGCAGCCCTCCTTTAAAAGTTGCTTTGCATCCTGCTGAAATTTTCCATGAGCTCTGATCCAAAGCACGTTCAGTTATTCTGGAGCATCAAAAGGGCAGAAAGATTATGCTCTCTTCTGACAAAGTACAGAAAAATCGTACAACCCCTTCTGAATCCATTGTAATTAATGCAGAAGAAACATGACATCTAAAAGACATTAAGGGAAGAGCGCTAACAAGTGGGGTTGCAGTATTTTTCAGAAGTAGAGCATTGAGCCTGCTAATGTAGGGAGTCTTAACAAAGTGCAAGCTGGTTTGGGGGTATTTTCCTTATGAAATACCTTGAATCATTGCTGTCACCATGCACATCCTGGTGTGCTGCGTTCATTGTGCAAAGGACACCAATACCTCCCATAAGGGTGCTGCCAAGGCCAGGACCACCTCTCCTCCCACCAAGTCTGAGCCCCAGTGGCTGAGTGTCCTCTGCTATCCTGCAGTGGGTGTGGGGACATCTGAACCTCAACGCTGGGGCCCCCACACGTCACTGCTTCTGCTGCCCAGTGCTGGCACTGCCTGAGACTGACAGCCCACATTCAGCTTGTCTCTAGAGGGGAAATGGCCACTTTCTGCCTTAAGATTTTGAGCAAGACAAAAAGGATGGGCTAATCCTAACAAGGATTGGGACACAATTCCTTGTTTTGTACCTGCATACAGTTTCCCAAGGAGAACAGTAGGTTGCTGCACCCAGCAGAGGCTGGGATTAAGTGACATCTACTGGAACTAGTTCCTTCTGAAGAGAAACGCTGATTATAAAGCAGAAGATAGCACATGGCACAGCAGCACAGCTCATATACTCATCTGGTGACAAGGGATGACACGTTTAATACTCAGGGCTAAAATCCTGTAGAACTTAAATGGTTGTAGAGACATCTCTGTGCCATTTCAGACCTATTTGCAGAAAAATAAAACCAATGCCATTTGGATGATACTATCAATCTGATTATTTTACAGTTACATTGTACTGTCTGTGATGGAGTATAAATTTAATCAAGCCGCCTCCATTCCTCAGGTTGATATGATGTCATATCTGCAAAAATACAAAGTTCTTATAATCTCAGCATTTCTCCAGCGGCTTGGAGGTGTGTTTTTTACACACTTGAGCAGTTTTTATTTTCTACACAAGAACAGTTCAGTACTGACATTAGAAAGACAGATTTGAGAAATGGACTGAACTAATGAACCTTTTCATGGCACTGGGAGAACACAGGACCATATCATGGTGAGAAAGAAATTTTCCATCTTGGTGGGAGAACAAGTAACTTTCTGTGTGACAGATTAGGGGTTCTTGCACAACCTTTCTTCTAAAACCATAATAAAGAGATTTGCAAGAAAGTACTGGAGAAATGAGCCTGCATTGGGAATTCTTCCCATCTTGCTTTTGCAAAGTTCTTCAAGAGCTGTTTTAGAGCACTGAATTCAAAGGTATGGTTGGGGAAAATGCCCTGGCTTACTGAATCAAAGACAGGCATCTGATTTTAATTTGTTTACAATGGCAGTTGCTGTATGTATTTCATTGACAATAGTTGTAAAGCCAGATGTCATATAGAGAAGTGCAGCTGAGGACAACTAGGAGCAACAAAAGGAATTTACTGCTCGTATTGGATTAACAGTACAACTGCTTCAGAAAGGATTCATCAAGTGACACAAAACAGAGGAAGGGAAACTGTCACACAAGTTTTATCAAACTGTGTGCTGCTATTTACCTACCTTTGCTTCCTTACACATCTGAACCTCTTTCTTTTAATATTTAGGTTATAAAATAACCTCAGCTGTCACAGTTGCTGTAACATCTTCAGCAAAAGGCTGAATACTTGTTGCTCCTTGGGCACAATGATTTTGGGCTCAGGGCCCCACAATGCTCCCATCCTGACACAGCAACAGGGCAGCCAGAAGCCTGGGTCTGCCAGCAGTAGGAGGTATGGATTGCCCTGATGGAGACAACGTCATCATGCTCAGTTCTGAACAGCAGGGAACTATATCCTAAATAAATCCACCAGATTCTCATTTACCCAACTGTTTTCTTATCCTTGCTGATCCTATTAGTAGAGATGGAGAGCTAAAAGAATATCAAAGGCTGCCTGAATAGCTTTCCTTGAAGGGAGACACGTACTGCTTGCTCATCGCTCACAGCCCGTTTGGTTAGCAAGCAATGCAAGTGACCTGGGAGGCAGCTCTCCTCCTGGGAATGCTGCTGGAGTGCTGCAGCACGAGGGCTGTGCAGCACTGCTGGAGTTTTCTGGCCACGGCCGCACACGCTGCTTTTGGCTGAAAGTGCTCAGTCATACAATCATAGACTCATATAATCATAGAATGGTTCTAGTTGGAAGGGACCTTTAAAGGTCATTTAGTCCAACTCCCCTGCAATGCACAGGGACACCTACAGCTAGGTCAGGGAGCTCAGAGCCCTTTTTAGCCTCACCTCGACTATCTCCAAGGACAGGACATCCACCACCTCTCTGGGCAAGCTGATCCAGTGCTTCACTGCCCTTATTGTAAAAAACTTTATCCTTATATCCAGTCTAAATCCCTCAGCAGAACAGCAACTTACATCCCTCTCTCTCCGTGTTTCGACAGAAACACCTTGGTCCTGGCCTTTAAGCCCCATGCTTCCTGATCTGTTCACTTCAAATGGAGTAAAGGTGGCTCCAACAGGGAGATAAATCCCCTCCTGCAAGCAGCAGCAGGTGAGGCTTGTGGGCAGGGTGGGGTGCCAGGATGCTGCTTTTTTTCCTGAGTCCATGCAGAAGATCCAAGGAGCCACATGAAGGGAAGACGAAGACCTCTAGCTCCACCACTTTGCATAGAAGTCCTTTTTGTAATGCAGAAGCAAGTGTCTGCTGTCAGGGTTTGATGGCTCGCTCAGACTACAAGAACCTTCCTACAAGGCACACAGATCCTGTCACAGCAGGGAGGGCTCAGAAACTGCCGATTCACCTGCAAAATGCTCTGATCCCAGAAACCCTCTACGGCCACGTTATGCCATCTGCTAGCCCAATGAAAGCCCATGAGGGCCCAGCTCCTCATTTGTGCAGTCCAGGGAGACAGGGACCGTCAATGGGTCCTACCACAGACCTCCACGCAAGCCTGCATGGAGGCTGCGGGTGAGGCCTGTAAATGCGTCAGCTTCATCAAGCTCCCATTTCATAGAATCATAGAATGTGTTAGGTTGGAAGGGACTCTAAAGCCACCCAGTCTGAACCCCTGCCATGGGCAGGGCTGCCCGCCACCAGCTCAGGCTGCCCAGGGCCCCATCCAACCTGGCCTTGAGCGCCTCCAGGGATGGGGCACAACTGCCTGTCTGGCCAGCTCCCTACTACTCTGTTTCTCATCCCATTTCTCACTTGTGGAAGGACAGCCTGACCCTGGGAGCTGGGTCAGCCACCAGCTGCAGTATGAAGGGTACACATAGCTAGCCTGTGCTTGTCATACAGCCTGTGAGAACGTGTCTGGCTTTTCTGCAGAGCAGTGCTGTGCAGTGTTTTATAGGTGACATTACTCATCATAAGGACCTGAACACGCTTTGTTACTTGACATATAGTCGATGAATGGCCAACTAGATAAAACTAGTGAGATATACGTATGTCTTACCCTATTGCAAATGAGCTGGCACACAGAGTCATGTTTTACTCATGGGAGTAAGATCTTTGCCATGCCGTATTACGTGTCTTTGCTAATATTTGATTCCTTCAGTCTTTGTCTAATGGTCAAAACCAAATACAAGCTTCACCTTTTTCAGTGTTGCCAACTCATTATTTTTTGTCATTTTTACCAAATCTGTGGTTTCCTAGAGCATCAGTGGCGCCTGAAGCGGCATTTTTCTTTTTCAATAACCTCAGTTTCCACTGCAAAAAGAAACATCTGATCACACCATGTGGAGGAAGGCCTGAGATGGCTCAGAAATAAAGTAACGAGTGAACTCATTACATATTACTGCTTAAAATCCCAGCTCTGATTTGAGCTCTGAACTGCCTTCTGGTTTGAAACAGTGGTTCTCTATACAGGCTTCACAAAGCTGGCTCACTCTTTTGGTAAATTTTTATGGGGTACTTGTGCCAAGGAAAATGAAGAGAGGAAAAAACTTTTCTTGGACTGCCTTAAATTTCATCACTTTCTCTACGATCTCAGTAATCTCTGTCATGTCTTACCTTTGCAGAGTGCTTTTTTATTTACTTTGAGAGACTGCCTCAGTGAAAAAGTGAAAGGTTTACATGAGAGAAAAGACTGACAGAGCTTCACAAAAGACAACACTGTGCAGACACGGGCAGAATTAAACTACTAGGAACGTAATTTAACCAGAAGAAGATGTGGACAGGAAGGCAAGGAACTTCTCTAAGAAGGGCCAGACCTTGGGGCCAGCCTGGGCACTTGGGTCCAGTGATATCTATCAACAAATTCATGGCCTTCAGCAATTAAATCGGGCTTCAGAGGTTGCT